AAATATGTGTCCTGGAAATAGACCCCCCACTCAGTGAGGTTGGACCCAACAAGAATAGACACAGACAGAAACAGCCAGAAGTTTGGTTCACCCAGCTGAATACAGAACAATCTGTATAACTTTCTTAAAGAATCTCGTTGGACTAGCAGGTGGCGTAATGGTTAGGGCACTGGACTCCTACTTGGCTGATTGTGACTGTGGTTCAAGTCCTGGACCTCGTGGCTTATTTTCTCATTTTCCCTCTCTGTCACTCTCTGGTAGCACATGTGCCCTATAGCAAATTTAAAAATAATAGTAAAATTAGAATAATTACTTTAAAAAGGAATTTTTAAAAATTTGCTAGGTAGTTTGTACATGTGTTCACCAAGAGAGAACAGAGAGAGAAGGGAAGTGAGAAAGCATCCCCCAGTGGGGCATGGCCATGCGGCAATCCGTTTTCTTCTCGGGATCTTCAGCATCTGTGCACATGTACCTGGTGTATTTTTCAAGCTGCCAGGTCTGGGACTTGAACCGCACAGCCAGCCATGTGAGATCCAGGTGCTTTAACTACCATGCCACCAGCTGGTCCAAGAGAAACTTTAATGTTAAAAAAGTATATAAAAGGGCCAGTAGGTGGTCTGGTGATTAAAGCTCTGGACCCCCAGACAGCTGGCCCTGGTTCAAGTACTGGACGTGGCAGTTTGTACATCATGCTGGGTGTGTGTGCATGTGTGCCCAAAATCCTAGGAGGAGAATGGAAGACAAGGATTGCAGCATGGCCACCCCCCTGGGAGGGGGAGGTGATTTCTCACTTTCTCATTCTATCTCTCTCTCTCTGTGTCTCTGGTGAATGCATGCACCCTATGGCAAAAATCTCTAAAATAAGGTTTTTATAAGTTGCCATGGTTACACTACTTGGAGTTGCCTAAATGAACTTATTAGACGTTTTCCCCTATGAATATATAGTCACGTGCCACATGCTGACGTTCTAGTCAATGGTGACCGCCTGTGTGACAGTCCGTTATGGTAAGATGATGATGGCGTGGAAGAATTCCTGGTATGGCCAGAGCCATTGTAGCAGTAGCACTCACGGGTCTGCAGTGGGGCTTCTATAACAAACCCACTGCCCCACCCGTGGTGTCAGATGGCACACGCAGCCGTGTACGAACGCAGTGCCTGCGGAGGACGGTAAGCAGCTGCGCTGCCTGGCTTCTGTACCCACGATGCTGTCCTGTTCTCATTTCAGAGTATACTCGGTCCACTTATTACAACAAAGCCCTGCTGGTGACACAGGGTGTGGTCCCTCACGCTGACACCTCCGAGATCTGGTTTACCATGTCGCTCGACAGCATCTTTTCTCTGGCGTTTGATTTCGTTTTGTGTCTTGTTCATCATGGCTCTTCCAGTGGGAAAGAGGGAGACGGTGGAAGACGGTGATGTTAACGGGTCCGGCCCTGTACTGGCCGAGGTTAACGTGTGTGTCTGTGTTTGTAAAACTCTGTGTAGGTCGTTCCAGCTGCAGTGGCTCAGGCAGTAGGTGAAGCGGGAAGGCCCAGGATTTGGTTCCCAGGTTAATCTGATCATGGCATGGTGGGACCTTGTCAGGGGTGCTTATTTCACTCTCATGAAAGAGATAAATATACGCTAATTTTTTTAAAGTTTTTTTTGCCATAGGATGTGTGCACTTACCAGAGAAACAGAAAGACACAGAGAAAGAAAAAGTGAGAAATAACCCCCCTGGGAAGATGGTCATGCTGTAATCCTTTCTCCTCCTGGAGTTTGGGAACACACACACACACAGCATGATTTTTAAGCCACCAGATCCGATCGGGCATGTGCAAATCCAGCTGCCTCAACCACCACACCATCTGCTGGCCCCATTACAAAAAATGTGTTAAGAATGATTTATCTTATTTATTGTTATTATTTTTAAGTTTGCTGTAGGGCATAAGCACTCACCAGAGAGAGACAGAGAGAGAAAGAGGAAAAGTGAGAAAGTAAGCCACCATGTCTAGGACTCAAACTGTGGTTGGCCATGTGAGTCCAGAACACTCACCACCATGCCACCGATTTTTTAAAAAGAATTATTTAATTTAATTTAATTTATTTATTTTAATTTGACTAGAGAGGGACAGAATAAGAGAAGAGGGAAAGTGAGAGAACAAGCCGCCAGGTCTGGGACTTGAACCACAGTCAGCCATGTGGGAGTCTAGTCCCCTTAACCACCTGCCAGCCCCTTTAATATAATTTTTAAAGTAAAGTTTGTAGAATAAAGATGTAAAGAATAAATATTTTGTACAGCTATATAGTGTGTTTTAAGCTAACTGTTACTACAGAAGACTCAAAAGATTTTTTAAAAAAATCAAAGTTTATAAAAGGACAATAAACTAAAGAGAATCTATTATTGAAGAAAGAAAAAATGTTTTTTATAAATTGAATGTGGTTTGGGTAGACAGTGTTCATGAAGTCTACCTTCATGCACATCACTGTCCTAGGCTTTCACATTCATTCTTCACTTACTCCCTGTGACTCATAGCAGTTCCCAGCCATTCATGGAATCTCCATCTTACTGACCACTACACTCTGCTGTCAGTAGGAAAATCCCACCATCATAGAAGCAGAGAGTCTTTCCCTCTAGTTGTTTAATGTCCTTGGGCTTCATTTAAACTCTCATTTTCACCTCTTAGAACCTCAGTTTCCTCATCTAAAATCTCACAGAAGTAGAAGACTAGGGACCAGCAGGTGGCATGGTGGTTAGGGCACTGGGCTCCCACATGGCTAACTGCGGTTCAAGTCCTGGACCTGGCAACTTGCTTTCTCACTTTCTCTCTCTCTCTCTTTCTCTCTCTCTCTCTGTCTCTCTGGTCAGATTAAATAAAAATAATAAATTTAAAACAAAATATATATATATTTTAAAGTAGAGGATGAAAGAGTGGATGCTGGGCAGGGGTGAAAGGCAGGGAGAACTTGCTGAGCAGGTACAAGAATATAAGCAGATAAATGGATGAGTTCTAGAATACTATAGCATCGCAGTGTAATGAGAGGTGATGACAGTTCTGTGTACGCTTCAAAATAGCTAGAAGAGAGAATTTGAAATGTTTACAGTACAACGTAATGGTAAGTGAGATAGTGGGCAGGGTTAGTGCCTGATTTGATCTTGACAAATTGTATGCACATACTGAACAAACCACACTGTACCCATAAATAGCTACAACTACTGTAGGACAAAAAGTATAATAGAAGAGGGGCTGGGGGGTAACAATACCACCGAAAGCTAACATGATAAGAGGTTGTTGGGGGACATGAGTGAAGAGTAAACTGTCATTTGCTCATTATGTCTCCCTCTGTCTACTGACCTATTCATAGGCTCTTGGAATCACTTAATTTGATAATTGATGCACTAGAAGCCCTGAACATGAGAGAATAGGGTTAATATCCTGTTCCAACTCTACAATATGTAACTGTGATTTAAAAAAAAATGAAATTAAACAGAACGTCTATTTTGCTAATATGCATGGACACACCTTCCTGATGTTTCCCCCAGATTGTGGCTGAACAGGCGTGGCGCGAGCTGTGGTTTAGAAATTAAGCCCTACTAATTACCAGTTGCCTAATCCCCCCTGTGGATCCAAGGTTGTGTTCTCCAAAAAAGTGAAAAACAGCCAATTATTGAGGCTTTGATATGAGATTCCAGACGTCCAGAGTTTCCCCCTATTTTAGAATCTTTGGCACAGAGACAAAGAACTTGAGAGATTAGCTTAATGATTCAATACCATGTTTCATCTTTTGTTGTGCAAAGGGGAGGATTTGATTCTTTTTCCAAGTATAGAAGCCTCTTGCTTCAGGAAGCACATACAAGCAATGCCTCTTCTTCCATTAATTTTCAATTTGAATTTGTACAGTCTCCCCTTTGCAATTTTTTTTAAAAAAGGAAAGGCCATGGAATCAGTATTTTTTTTTTTTTAAGGCAGTATACTGCTTGCTCTGTGGACCCATTTCCTCAGTCTGTCAAAACAAGCAAAATGATTGCCACCCAACTGATTCATGGAATTTATAGAAACAAACGCGTGAAATGAGCCAGCTTTGGAAAAGGAAGTCTGAAATAAGTAAGCCATTGTCAGAAGTATATGAGCATGTATAGTCTATGGACTTCAGAAAGTTTATGGAAAGGGGAACCAGCAGTTAGCGTAATGGCTATGTCGCTGGACTCCCACGTAGTCCACTGCGGTTTGTGTCTCGGACCCAGTGGCTTAAAACTCACACCAGACGTGTGTGCATGCGTGCCCAAGATCCCAAGAGGAGAATGGAGGAGAAGGGGTTACAGTGTGACCATCCCCCTGGGGGGTGATTTCTCGCTTTCTGTCTCTCTGTCTCTCTCTGTCTGTCTGGTGAACGCACGCACCCTATAGCGAAAACCTCTCCAAACAAAACAAAACAAAACAAAACAAACAAACAAAAAAAACCCAGAAAGTTTATGGAAAGATACAATTAATGAACAAATTTATTTGGGCACAAAAAACTTTTAACATCTATGCATAGTGTTTTTTAAAGACTTATTTTATTAACTTTGTTTATTTAAATTTAACCAGAGAGGGACAGAGAGAGAGGGCAAGTGAGAAAGCAAGCCGCCAGGTCCAGGATTCGAATTACAGTTGGCCATGTGGGAGTCCAGCATTCTTAACTACCATGCCACCTGCTGGCCTCATGCATACTATTTTTTATAATATGTGTTTCCATGAGCTTTTTGAAGACTCCTTATGTATGTAAAATTTTCATTCAGGACTATGTATTTTAATTAATTCAACAAGTTGCTAAACTTTCTGGTACTACCTAACAAGAACCTCCTTCCCTCCAGTTTCCTTCCTTTTGTGGTCTCAAGGAACTTCTGATACATTCGGCTTTCTGTTTCATTAATATCTCTTGTTTAGGTCCCAAAATCTGTTAGTTACCTCATGCTGCATTCCAAAGAACTCAAAAAATTAGTGACTTAACTTGCCAATATTTGTGTATTTTTCTCATAGGTTCTACAAATTGGGAATTTGAAAGTAACTGAGCTGGATAATTTTGGCTCCAGGTGTCTTAAGAATTATCTACGGGCTTCCTGATGAGGAGGAAGTTGAGGGCTTGATTTTGCAGCTGGTAAGTTTATACTGACAAAAATTGTTTCCTTTCCAATGGGGCCTCTCCAAAGGCTGCTGGAGTATATATATAATCTTGCTTTGGAAGTCAGCTTCTTCCATATTCTGTTCATTGGCAGCAGGTCGGTAGGTCTAAGCCACATCCAATAGGAGAATAGGAGGCTAGGCTGTGGTGTAACGGGAAAATGTGATGCCTGCAAGGCCGACCCACATGGAGAGGTTCATGGTTCACATCCTGTGACCTCCCTGAGTATGTCTGGCATGTGTGTGCCCGTGATCCAGAGCCGGCTGAAGCTGAGAGTGAACCATGGTGTTAAGGCCCTGCTGGGCATGCTGCCTCTCTGTCTCTTTTTCTCTTTCTGTCATGGAAAAAAATAAGTGTTAAAAACAATTAGGAGAGGGGACCAGCAAATGGCGTAACAATTTCGTCGCTGGATTCTCACGTGGCCAACAGTGGTTCGAGTCCCAAATTTGGTGGCTTGAAAATCATGCCAAGTGCATATGCATGCATCCCCAAGATCCTGGGAAGAGAATGGAGGAGAAGGGATTGTGTTGTGGTCATTCCCCCTGGGGGGCGACTTCTTACTTTCCCTCTCACTGTCTCAGGCAAAAATCTCTGGGGAAAAAAATGAATAGGAGAGGAATTTGACTTCACCTTTTGAAGGAAAGAATGTCAAAACATTTACAGACACATTTTAAAATCATCACAATTCCCAATATCACTCAGTTATCATTAAACTTTCAACAATGAAAACTAATAAACAAACTTAATAATGTCAAAAAATTTAATTTAACCAATAGGCATTGAATATCTTCTATCTGCCAGGTATAGCATGAATGAAATTCAGTCCCTGCTGGGAAGGAGTATCCTTTCCTATTAAGACTGTGCTCTTGCTTTCCATTTTTAGTTTTTCAAATGATTTATTTTTCTCTGAATTGCATCAAAGGGAAAGAAACCCAAACTGTGTTGGCTGGAAAAGACCGAAGTGGTAAAGACCGGCCATCTTGCGATTACTTGCTATGTAATTCCTATGAGAGAAGAAAGTGGCAGACTTTGTGACTGGAGATTCATTCTCCTGTGAGAAAAGTTCTTGCTTATCAACACAAACATTTGAGTTATTTAAGTGTTTCACATGTCCAAATTTGGTGGCTTGAAAATCATGCCAAGTGCATATGCATGCATCCCCAAGATCCTGGGAAGAGAATGGAGGAGAAGGGATTGTGTTGTGGTCATTCCCCCTGGGGGGCGACTTCTTACTTTCCCTCTCACTGTCTCAGGCAAAAATCTCTGGGGAAAAAAATGAATAGGAGAGGAATTTGACTTCACCTTTTGAAGGAAAGAATGTCAAAACATTTACAGACACATTTTAAAATCATCACAATTCCCAATATCACTCAGTTATCATTAAACTTTCAACAATGAAAACTAATAAACAAACTTAATAATGTCAAAAAATTTAATTTAACCAATAGGCATTGAATATCTTCTATCTGCCAGGTATAGCATGAATGAAATTCAGTCCCTGCTGGGAAGGAGTATCCTTTCCTATTAAGACTGTGCTCTTGCTTTCCATTTTTAGTTTTTCAAATGATTTATTTTTCTCTGAATTGCATCAAAGGGAAAGAAACCCAAACTGTGTTGGCTGGAAAAGACTGAAGTGGTAAAGACCGGCCATCTTGCGATTACTTGCTACGTAATTCCTATGAGAGAAGAAAGTGGCAGACTTTGTGACTGGAGATTCATTCTCCTGTGAGAAAAGTTCTTGCTTATCAACACAAACATTTGAGTTATTTAAGTGTTTCACATGTTGACATTCAGAATTCACACAAATGTCTTTCCACTTAATTGGACTGGTGTTTACTGAGTGCCTACTAGCTCTGACTGATTGCAATGGATTATTTCATTGTTTTCTTATTTCACAGAGGCAGTGAACATTAGGTGCAAATAGCATGTATAATTCATCCCCAAATACCTGGGTACCCTGCATGTACAATAGTAATGACGTATATATTTAGAAGGCACATACATATTTTATTTCATATTAGCCATATATCTGGATTATCTATTCCATTTTTGTTTAATCCAAATAAACTTTAAAAAAAAAAAAAGGGCGCAAAACCACAGCAGCAAAAACAAATAGAAAACTAAAACAAAAGAAGGAAGATTTTGTGACTCAATAAATTACAATTGCAAACGTGGGTGGACCCCTTAGCATAGTGGTTAAGGAGTCAGATCCTATTTGCTTGGCAAAGGCTTGGAACAAGCCAAACAGGCATGCATGCCCCAAATCCCAACAGGTCCGAGAAATGAGAAGGGATTACAGTGTGATCACACCCCATGAGGGACGCTGTCTCTCTGTCTCTGTCTTTCACTGTCTAGCACATGCACTCTCTGGCAATTGGGAAGAAAAAAACCAAACCAACTGAAAATGTACCCTGGAAGTCATTCTGCTCTAAAAATGATGCTAAAAATTGGACCTTGTTGATATTAATTCACCATCTGCTTTTGAATGTTGCTAAAATGCCTACCTCCAGGAATCAGTTCCCTACGTAATTGGTCTCTAAAATCCTCCCATTGTGAAAATTATGTTCTATTTCTGTTCAATTACCAAATGAACTACTCTACGGTGGAATCATATTTATTAAGGAAATGTCTTCACTGGCACTTGCTACAGAGTCTGATGCAGTAATTGGTTCATTGTTTTCTGCCGGTGGCAGTGGCAGTGGGCGTGAGCATGAGGTTTAGAACCAGTTTCCTCCCTGTCTAATACCTGCAGGATCTGGGAAAATGATTTCTTCAATCAGTTCTCAGCATCCTTACCTAAAAGCCATGATAAATGGAATTCATAGGGTTAGTAAGGATTAAGTGAGATGTTATTGCATTGTTTAAGGAGTAGTCCAAATATTAGTTGCAGTAATCACCTTACTTCCAATTAATGACCATTCATTAAGCTTTTAGAGGTTAGTTTCTAATCCTGCCACCTTACGTCCTCACGGAACACTGATATTTTTATCACAGAGTCAACGCTTGTGTTTTTTCTGTTTTGTTCTTCCTCTTCCTACCTCTGCAAATGCCTGGATGTCTGGATTTCATTAACTGACTTGAAGCTCTTTTCCCGACTAAGAATTGTAGTCCCTATTGCAAGGAACATCTGCTCAGAGAAGCCGGTCAATATTGAGGAGAAGTTCAAAGAATGCAGATCATTGGTTGTGTCAGCTTTACAACTAGGAGGTAATGGCATTAAAGGAACCGGTCATAATACCCAACAATAGCGACCTCATTAACCAGTGATTTATCATGATGAAAAGACCTGTTTAACCTTTGGTCTCCACAAGCTTTCTCCTTCTAACAAAAAGGTCTATTATTTCAAGTTGTCAGAAGATAATTTGTGAGTTGTTAAAGGACAGATTCAATTACATTTAAGACAATTAAATGGAAACTGTACTGCCCGCAAGGTGCCTGCACAACTTTGGTTTTCCTCAGTCATCTTTCTGGGAACCACAACAACAAAAAAAGGAGTTTGATGACTTTTGCCACATGAAGCCATTGTAGCTGGGCCCCCTATGGCCTGCTGCCCACGTCTGGTCACTAACTGGGCTCTCTTTGAAACTAGCAGAAGAGAGACTTGAGCTAAATGAGCTCATTGGCATCTAAGGCGACATGTCAAGCTTTTCTGTCGGTTCTAGGTAGCATTTATGGAGGCCCTACTGCAGAATCGGTGAACTGAAGGCTCTGGGAGAAAGCAGTGGTGGCTAAGGCTGGGCTCTGGCCTCCAGAAGCTCAGACTTTCGAGGGGATGTTCTTTCAACTTGTGCTTTTAGAGCCCTTTGCATAGTCCCTGCAATCATTGCGTTTCTGTAGTTTACCTGCTGCTGGGCTCTGAGGGTGGCTGGAGGGGCGCTTCTCTCATGCTGAGGAAACCGATCAAGAACGACAGCAGAGAGAAAAAGGTTCAGACTTTTGGGTGAGCAGATTGCTTGGAAGAGTGGATTCTGTCGGGCAGCTTGTGTCCCTTTGGCCCAACCTGAAGAAGGATAAAAACTATCTATAACATCTGTGCACTTCGGAGTGGGCCTCTTTAGAGCAGAAACTGTCAGTTGTGACAAATTGAACCCAATTGTACGGAGGCTTTTGTGAGTGGACAAATGTCCATCAGAGGCTCAGAGGAGACCACCAAACTCAGTTCCCTTGTGCCTTCGTGCTAATTTACACCCTGGGTCCCCGAGGTGAGAGACCCCGCTATTTGCTCATCTGACCATAGTAAATAACACCAACTGGAGAACCTTGAGCTAAAGGTGTTTAAAGAAAGCCCAGCTTTCCAAATGTGATGGAAAGGTCGGCAGCAGCTCACGCCCACTGTCTAATTACCGATGCGGGGGTGTGAGAGATGTTTGAAATAGGGTCTTCCTTGATGAGACTGGAATTCGGACTTCAAGATCGGAAACCTAGACTTTGGCTGTAAGCTTGCGTCTGTGGCTCTGTCCTTAAGGAAACGGGTTACTCATTATTTGTGGTACGGAAACATCTTGCACGTGGTTTGGAATTTACGTTCTTTGAATAATTCCAAATATTTCTCCTAGTACTTTTTTGGGAAATAGTATTGCCCAATACCTAGTTTAAATGGCTTATACAATGCCTTATTTTTCTTTAAAAAAAATCATCTTTTCAGAAACCCAGTAAGTCATTTCTGATTTCATTAGAAGGAAAGAGTAAGCAATGTCCATTTTTTAAAAAAAGACTTATTTATTTTATTGTGTTATTGTTATTTATTTTTTAAATCTGACCAGAGAAAACTAGAGAGAAAGGGAACGTGAGAAAGTAACCCATTAGGTCCAACACTTGCACCACAGTCGGCCATGTGGGAGTCCTCAACCACCATGCCACCTGCTACCCCAATAATATCCAACTTTAATTTAATGAGTATTTTTACCAGATTATAACATTACATGGATTTCATTAAAAGAAATGAATCTAGGGGGCCAGCAGGTGGCATG